TTGAAGGATGGGCACGTGCTGCCTGTCCCGTGCAGGCTGTCGACCCATGAGTGAGGAGGAGGCTTCCCCCATTCCTCACACTCAACCAATTGAAGGCTCCCGGCAGCAATCGCAGCCCCCGCCTCCCAGGCACTCCCTCGCTCACGCCAGGCTTCCATTCGGTGCGCAGCCGGAAAAAAGCGGACATTGCACATATCCGGTATTGTTACCGGACAGAGAACGCAAATACCGGCCTTTCGGGTACAATACTGGACACCTGGCAACCCTACATCACAGACACTCACTGTTGCACAGAAAACAGGCCGGTGTGCACGCTACACATAGGGCGCGTGCCCAGCACTAGGACACAGAAGGGGGCCGCCAGCTTCAAAAGCAGCTCTGCACACACAGAAATGGGATTGGGGGGGGGGCAGTGGCATATGTGCCAACACGTCTCATCTTGGCTTGAAGGCAAGCCCCCCCCCCCAACTGTGCTTATGGGCATGCCCAGCGTTTCCCCCCACACACCTCCAGCTTCCCTTTGTGGGTCCCTGGCAAAAATGATGGTGACACAATGAAATCGGGAAGGAGGGGAATACCTGTTTTCACACACCCCTCCCCGGAGTACCCCACACAGGGTCCCCCCCACTACCCAGCACCTCAAGCACACAGACCTCCCTAGCTCCTCACCGCCACGTCCCAGGACCTGTCCCTCCCCCACAGCCACACGCTGGATGGGGCTGGGCTCATTCCAGCCCGTGGGAGCAGCCAACGCAGACAGGCCAGAGAATGAGTGGAGTCTGCTGGGGCTGGGCTGTCTCAGGACCCACTTGTCTGGCAGGACCAGGCCACGTCCCCTCTCCTGCTCAGACAGACAAGCCCCTGTGCCAGCCCCAGGTGGCTCAGCCCCAGGGCTCCCACAGGTCACAGCGGTCAAAGACCGCTTGGCGCCAGGGTCATGCTGGGGAGTGGGACCGACCCTTGGACATGACCCCCCTCCTGAACCTGCCCAGCCCAGCCATGGGCACTGTCCCCACGCCCTGGGGTCAGGTGGGGCAAGGAGGAGCACGTGGTGGGTGAGGCCTCAAGGTGGGGGGGGGCAGAGGGACAAGGTCCAGGCATTGGGGCTCCTTCTGAGTTTGGGCTCAGTGCCATTGGCAAGCCTAGCAGTGTACCTCACAGGCTTGCCAGATGTCCAGTTTTCTACCGGACAGTCCGGTAGAAAAATTCAGAAAATACCAGATGTGCAATGTCCGGTATTTTATGAATTTCCAGCAGTGCGCCGGCGGGAAGCCTGGCAGGGGCGGGGGACGCGACTGGGAGGCAGAGCGCGCTTGGCTTTGGGAGCCCTGTGGTCGCACGCAAAAGCCAGGTGGGGTGGGGGGGCCGGGACTCCCAGCCACCTGCCCGGCTGGGAG